TTTGTGGGCAAACGCGGCAGCTAATTGCGCACAGCAATGTCCCACAAACAGTCGTAGATTGAAAATGACCAATTTATTGTTTTTGGTTTTGGAGGGATTATTATTAGGCTCTGTGTGGAGTAAGGAAACTTGCCCAAGGTTTCGCCCTCTGCCTGGAATTGAACTCACTCAGGTCTCTCGCTTACTCGCGAGTGCTCTAACCACTGAGCTACAGGACTCCACAAACCTGAGATCTTCCACTCCAATTGGTCACCATCCCAGCACCAGACTGGGGGTGGGGGGGNTGGAGTGTGGTCAGCCTGGCTCAGCTGGTAACATCCTCAGCTCAGGTTGTGGGTTCCAATCCCACATCCGGACTTTGAGTTCAGTCTCAGCTGACGCTGAAATGTCAGGAGGTACAGGCTTTTGGACGAGAAGGGAGATTCTCCTGGTGTCTTGGCCAACAATCCCCTAAATTAACGGTGGATAATCTATGGCCCGTGGGGCCATCAAAGTGCAGCCCCCCCACCCACCCCCAACATTCGCACAAGTCTAGGTAAGTCTGTTCAATCAGCTGTGCAATTTCATTTTTTGGATTGAATATTTCGGGATTTATTTGGGCGTTAATCAAGAAATATTCAACTAAGAACATTTATTTTGTTGGCCAACTAGAAAATTGTTTTTTTCAGTTCTTGGCTGTTTGTCGACATTGCTGCACACAAATTAGCAAAAATAGTCACTTCTGTGAAAGCAAATTCTGTGAAGTGTTTGGAGTTGTCCTCCTGACATGAAACGTGCAATATCAAACATAATGATTATTGAACAGCATTGACTTGGTAATCGTGTGGAGCTGTATTTCTGCCCCCGCTGTTGCCTGTAGTTTGCTCGCCCGGTAAAAGTTACCCCACGTGTGCTGCACAGCCACCTGACGGTTTTCAAACAACATGACGATCAATCATGAAATTGCATTTGTTGAAATCCATTTCAAGCTGTAGGTTAAAGCAAAGCAGATCAATTTGAGTCAGCTTTAAGACCGCACAGTGTATCCCTGTGGTGCCTCCATCATGCTGTGAAGTTTGACGCGACTATAGTGATGGGCTATATTGTGGTAAGCTGAACACTACTGTTTTCCCTGCAAAGTGGCGCTGATATCAGAAGGATGAAATCATTTTATCAAAAAACGAATCCCGTTCGTTCATCACCAGACACACACAGTGGGATAAATTGTTCCCTTTAATCAGCCTTATAGAATGATATATTACATTAATCACATTAAAGACAGTATACATTTTCCCCGTGTGCAAGATTGTGCAAGCTCATTAACTTAAGTTCTTAGAGGCTCTAAATTCAAAAGAAGACAGTAACTGTACAACACAGGTGATGCGCAGTTAAATTACAGAACACACAGGGCGAAATTAGCTCAGGTTAGTTCCCATGTAAAAAAAAATCCCACTCACTGCTGTTTCTTGCTGCTAACTGCACTAAATCACTTGGAGTTTGCCCCTCACTGTTCTGCTGTTTCAGGATGTCAGATATGATGGTACAAGTTGTTTCAGCTGTTTTGGTCCTTATTGATGTGCTTTCCGTGTCTCTATTGCACGTCAGCACACAACAGAATATGTAAATAAAAGCGACAGATTGATTTCCCTGTTCAAATAATTGAAGTTATCAGTGACAGCTCCACGCACGCATCAACAAAAGGGAAGTCTGGAAATACAAAGCGTAGTAACGTGGGCACAAACCGCAAAAGGAAAAAAAAACAAATCTCCTTAAAGACATTAAAATCCCAATCCAAGCCCCAAATTTAAAAAAAAGCAATGATTCTGAGGGATGTTAAAAAATAAATAGTTGAATATTAACTACATTTCCACAAAAAGTCTAATTGCAAAATAAATAAACTCCAATCAATCACTAAAGTTCAAATTGTGTATATTTAGATTTTTTTGTTTACTCAGTATTAACATAAAGACTACACCCAGGTAAAGGGAAAGGTAAAACTGCTTTACTGTCCAATACACACTTCTCATCAAAAAACATTAATAATTTTCTAGTTATAGCGCTAAAAATTACTCAAAAGTGCAACTGCAAAACACTCAACTGTTGGTTTCAGCCATTTATGAGGAAGAGAGACAATTTGTTCTTAGCCGAGACACGCTTACAATATACTATATGTTCTTTGCCTCTATTCTACACCCATCCCCTCAAACAGAAACACATGACAGACATTGAAAGTACACTGAACTAACCCTCCCCCCCCCCCGCCCCAAACAAAAAGAGACGCTGGGATTACAACTCACACTCCACGTGGCAATCGTTCAATGTTATCCCAATAATGCAGAGGTCTGTCTGTCACTGCGCAGAGGTCTGTCTGTCACTGCAAGACACTGGGTCTGTGAGGATGGGAAAACACTGAAAGCCGACAGAATAGTGATTAAAAAGCCAAGGACCACTCACTCTCTCTCGCGCTCTCTTCCTCCCCCCCCCCCCACCTTGCACAGCCAAAACTATAAATAATTGCTTGTTTCCAGTTTTTTTTTCAAATCGACATCCTGAGTGGGCAAGTACTGCAGTAGTAAAATCAGATTCCCTTGTCGACAGCTCACCAAGTGAATACTGTCCACACACACTACGCAATTAACAATGTGCACTGCAATGGTACCAAGTGCCTGGACATTTCTTAGTAAATCTCCCTAAAACTCAAAACCTATATACGTGTATTCCGTGCTAAAGTTAAACCTTAACCTTCCTCTCTCTCAACACTCTCTCAGGGGAGTAACCATTATACAAGTCCAGGTAAATAGTGATCTGTGGTAAATAAAAAGTCCAGGTAATAGTGAATGAACATCTGTCAGGGCTTCTGTTGAAAGCCGTGTTTTTTTTTAAAGAAATAAGAAATAAAAATCCAAACTTAAAAATCACCACTGTAATCTGGTAATTATTAAACAACATCCTGTATGGATATGGCTTGATCAACGTGTGGACCCCTTTCTCCCATCAAATATTCAGACAACCTCCACAGCAGCGGGACTGAAGTGTGCAGGTGGCACTTTCCCAACAGGATGCTTTTCATCCATAAAATTGGTTTGGAGACTCTTAAGCATTGTGATGGGTTTCCACATGTGTCAGACACCAGACTGACCCCAAAAAATCCTAAAATGTGTTGAAATATTTTAGAAATTTTGATTTTGTAAAAAATAAACGTAGCTTATGAAGAAAGATCCATTTTGTGTTTTGCTGATTAAATACTAGCGTTTTGCTGATTAATTACTATGGCACTATTAGGCTCTTTTACTCTATGGAATCTTTTTAAAAACACTGTCCATCCCCACAATTGTGATAGTTAGAAGAGTTACACATTTGAGATTTTTTAAAAAAACAAACGTGAATTTAGATCATTAACCCAAGATTTACAATCCAGAAACTGCTGCAATTGCTGAAATATCCTCCTGAGTAAGAGGTTTTTAGTTGTGTTGGCCTCCTGGGTTTTCTGGCTATGAAGACAAGAGCCAACACTGAGATACAGTGAGCGAGGATCCATACTGTTGACCCTGGAGCTGAGCAAAGACTAGAAAACCCCCATCACAACCTTAACTGGAACATTATATAGTAAAGAGCTAGAAAGAATACCAGTCCTCACTCTCTTACTGTCAACATAGATGGACCTGGGCAAGTCCTGTCTCGTCAGCAGACCCAATGTTGATAACTGGTAACTCACTCAGGACACAAGACATTTTATTTCTAGATAACTATCTGACTGTGGGAAGAGGGGGAGGGAAGAGATGTTAATATTGTTTTTTTCCCCAAGCCACCAACCCACATAGATTAACATTGCCCTTCGATGATGGAAAAAAAAGTGAGTCAACCTTACTATTAACAAAAAGATATGGAGCTGCCATTAGTTCATCTACCTTTCCCATGAGACGGACATAAACAGACTAAGAGTACAATTTAAATCCTTATCACAATCTTCTTTATTTTTGCAATCCTAACAACTGACATCATCTGTTTGAATGCAGGTGTCAACTCTCAACTCAATATATATATTTTTAAAAAATAAAAGTTCGAATCAACTGTCGCTGCACACGGTGGGTTTGGCTGAATGAATGTAACGTAGCCAAAAGTTGTGCACACGGGTTCCTGACGCTGAGCCACACCACGTGTGTGGCCACTTGTTAACTCATTCTAAACGCTCATGGAGGGTATTGTTGTCGCCTGGAGTCAACGGTGAGAACAGCGACACCGCTCTCTGATCGTCTCTCCCCATCCAGGCTTCCCGCACTCAGGTCTGTACCCCAACAGCCATGAAATGGTAACATTTAAAACAAATGCAAATAAGGCTGCAAGGTCAAGTGCAACACCCTTCGTGCCCCCAAGTGCTGTCCGATTGTGGCAACAGCACCCCAATCTCCCAGACGGAGCCAAGCCACCCAGCGGGTAACTTTATCCGGACCAAGAAGAGCTGGGGGTTGGTGTGGGAGGCACTTTGCTGAGAATTTGGACACATTGCATGTCGGCTAGTTACTTTATAAGCAATAAGCATGGTTGGTTACAGGAGGTGAAACCTCACCTCCCCCTACACAGAGACCTGACCTCTCAGTCAGCAGGAATCCAGGACCAAAGGCATCAGTTAGTTAACATGGGCTCTCGCTGTTCAATCCCCACTCTCTTTCTCTCCCCTCCCCCCCAAACAGAATACAAGCGCACTTAAACAGGGCACGAATTCAGACATATCCAAGTTAACATGAGGAAGAGAGTGTGTCTTATTTTTTGATAGAGCGCTGACTGGCAGACCTTGAAATACCTGAAATCACCTGGTCCCTTTTTGCATTGCTTGCTAATCTTTTGACACCGTTAGGACAGAAATATAAAGACCCGTTAGTAAATTTAATTATTTGTTGTTGTGTTTTTTTTAGCAAAGACCCACTGAATCTAGTTTTAAAAGCTTCCACTCTATGTACATGTATTATTATACAAGAAAGATCCATTCGTCAGACTCTCTACCCTCCCTCCCACCCCCTCCCTCCATTTCCCACAAACAGTTGGTGTGAATCTCTTCACTTTTCCTAACAGTCTGTCTTGCAGGTGGATATGTTCTGCATCACTTGCGATCATCAATGGTTTTAATGAATTCAACGGCTGCTGTGAACTGCATCCACCAATAGGATTCTTCTCCGCTGAGCCGACTGGCATAGAAATTATTGATGTACTGAACAGTGGACAGCAGGCAGGGTGGGTTAGCCTAAAGGTACAAGTGGAGAGATGGATTAAAGGAATGCATAATAAAACAAGGGAGAGAGAATCTCAGAGCACACTGGTTTGATTGGTTTTCACCCTACGTTCACCAACAAAATACAGTCAATTCACTTTACAGTATATTCTGTGAAGCGCTTTGAGACGTCTCGAAGACATGATAAGTCGCTAAATCAAATGCAAGTATTATTATTTTTATAATAGTCAACTCTGCAGAGTAATTTTGAAGTTCCATATTAACTTGGAAGCTGATTTTGCCACAGGAAGGGACAAGGTGGAGGGACAGAGGAAGAATGTTCCAGAGTTTCAGGGGTGTAGTGGCTGAAAGCACGGTCGCTGATTATGGAACGGAGGGCATAAGGGACATGTAGAAGGCCGGAGGTGCCAGGGCATGAAGAATTTAAAATGAGTGTGAGGATCTTGAAATTGATCCTGGCTAGAACTGATGTGATGGGGGTACGGAGTTTAGTACAGGTGAGTATGCGGGTGGCGGAGTTTGGGATCAGCTGGATCCTGTGTATGGTGGAGCTGGGGAGAACAGCAAAGTCAGGAGGTGACGAACGCACAGACTGAGCATGTTATATATCTCATCAAGAGGTCCAGATTACACTGAAGAAGTTGTCAATAGTGAGCACAGCATCCCTCAGGAGCTGAATCCTGCACAGAAACACATTAAAACAGCCTTTCAGGACAGTAGGCAAAGTCACACATAAAGTATAAACTTATACAGTATAAACGTATAAACGTAAGCGATTGAGTTTACAATCTGGGCAGAGACAAAATAAATAACCCTTGATATTGTGGTCACAAAAGGTGAGCATTACAGTACTAGGCCATTTACAGGGCAACTACCAGAGTCAACAAAACAACCACAACGTGCATTTACACAGCGCGTACACGTAGAGTAGCGTCCCAGAGTGTTGGTCAGTGGCGGAGGACGGGGTCCTACTTTCACAGGAAACGTACAACAAACGGACAGGTTTCAAGAAATACATTTGCTCGAGACTCTGAACTGGAAGACATTTTTTAAAAAAAAAACTTACATCTTATATGCAAGAAAGCAGAATAATTCACTCACCTTCACCCCCTCTTGCCCCCACTCAGCAATGGCACCAATGTTCGTTTTGTCGAAAGTGCAATTTAACAGTAAGTTAGGACTCCCCCCCCCCCCACCCCTCCACCTGCGCTGATGGTATTGGTTGCATTATAAAAATGCATTGCTCTACAAGATTGATACTCATCTGTAAGGACTCACCTTGATAAGGACAAACACGAGAACGGGAACAAAGTCATCTGCCCCAGGGACCGAGTCCTCATTGGCCAGGCTTAACAGATTCATTATGGTGGAGCACATTCGCAGGATACACTGGACCTTGTCTCTCGGGGTCTTGTAGGCATTGATTGTTCGGATCTCAGATTGTGCAGATGGCCAGGGGGCCTCTTTCAAATACACCTGATAGGAGCAGAAACAGTGTCAAGTCGGCAGCACAATATCATTAAATGCCCAGGGTTTCTTAGTAAGCAATTAAGAAAGGGCTTAATTTACTGCCACTCAGACTCCTTTGAGAGAAGCAGGGCAGTTGTTTTTTATATATACAAGATATATATAATATATATATATATATACACACACACACATAAATTGGGCTGAAATTCTAGGGAGCTATTAACAGAAGGAAATGTACTTGCGCAGGGTGGAAAGTGAATTGACTGTATATTTTCTTTTACATTCAATTCACTTTACAGTATCTTCTGTCAAGCGCTTTGAGACGTCTTGAAGACGTGATAAGGCATTATATCAAATGCAAAGATTATTATTATTATACTACATTATAAAGTCACTGTCCCACATTACTGCTTATCACAAAGATCTTCACAGACTTTATCCTCTTGGCTCTTCAGTGACTTTAGCTGCAGAGTGTTTACATGGTAGAATATAAAAAGCAAATTAAATAGATTTCTGTTAGGAAATAATACCTCGGGATACAGTATATAGTTTGGGACGCGACATGTGCAAGCGACTGCCAGGATGGGGGAAGGCGAACTGGATGGACCTTGGTCTTCTTTTGTCTAGCAAATTCTTATGTTCTAAACCCAGTTAGGCCACACCGGTCACATTACACGAGTACTGAGAGCCAGGACACTGGGCTGTGACCATCATGATATATGGTTCAAGCTGATCTGACAGAACCAGAGCCTTTCTATTACAAGCAAGTGGCATAGGTTCAGGAAGCAACAGTGAATAGTCATCTCACTCCACAAGCCAAAAGGTGGATGCTTTACCAAGTCTCAGAGCGAATTCATTTGGTGAAGCCTTTTACAGCAGGAATGTTGACATGATAAGGCGCTGTAACAAATGCATGGATTGTATTATTATTATTACCTCAGGAATCTGAAGAGCCTTGTGATTTGCACTCACGACTTTACACAGGCGCTGGATGTGTTCGTAGAAAAGCCTGAAAAGAAAAATTAAACCGTGATCACAGAATTGGAACAAAAGTCAGTAAATGTGGTTTGATTTGGGATGAGGAGGAAGTTAAAGCATGGCTCAGTTGGTAGCACTCTCGTCTCTGAGTCAGAAGGTTGTGAGTTGAAGCTCCACTCAGGGGCTTGGAACTTGCATAGTCCAAGCTCACAGTCCAGTACAATGCTGTGGTGCCCTGCATGTTAGCAGTGTCGTCCTTCGGATGAGATTTTGAAAGGAGGCCACATTTGACTGCTCTGGTGGGAATTAAAGATCCCATGGTACTATTCGAAAAGAGAAGTTTCTTTTCCGGTGGCAATTTTCCAAATAAAAAAGCTGGTCATTCACTTTATGGCTGTTTGTGGGACGTTTTTACGCAGAAATTGGATGCCGCGTTCGCCCACAACATACACAGTCACTCCACTTTACAGTATGTTCTGTGAATGCACTGTACTAAATATAAGGATTATTATAAGGATTATCAGGTTTGAGAGACGTAACCACATGACATACTTCATCAGAATTACACCGACTCTGCATGCAGTCTACACCTGACATTCAGACACACAAAAACTGACAGACCCATGAGATGCAGTTCTACCAGCGATTCATTTTTCACCTAAAACACAACTTAAGCAGTGGCTCCAGAGTTACATTGGAAGGCACGAGGACTACCAATAAGGACAGGAGTCAGGATTGTAAATATACTTTACTCATTCTGCCTCACCTATACTAAAAAGCAAACCATCTTTTAAATCATTCGAATGGTCGCTTTGCTGACACGTGGATAAACAATTGCACATGACTACATTCAACGGTAATCACCGTTTAGGCAGGTTGTCATTCTCGTGGCCTCATCAAATGCAAGGATTATGATATCCCATCATAAAGCAGTGTTACTGGTGCCCTAACCACAGAAGGATAATGATTCTGCTGCTCCTAGCAGCAGCAGCAGCACTCACTAGGCTCAGGTTCATTGGCGCTTGTGTTAAGAAGCGGAACCAATTATACAAGCAGGTCAAATCGGGCCCAATTGACCACAACACCACTTACTGGTCGCGTAGAATGTCGCCGTCCTGGTTGGGGTAAAAGGCGAGTTTGAAGATGCGGTTCATAACGCTGCGTTCAATCGCCATCTGTGCGTCCTGAAGCTGCTCCTCGCTGGCACTCTGCCAGATCACATCCTGTGCCATCGCTCCGTACAGCGACTGCAGGAATTCTTCCACCAAAGCAGTCTTGTCGTCCGATGCTGTGAGGCTCTGGAAATCTATTTAAACCGGGGAACGAGTGAAATGTCATCGATCAGGGAACAATGACACACACCAACAAAACCTTAAGAAAGTTTCCTTACTCCACACGCCTCTGTTTACCTAGCAGTATGTATGAAACCAGTTGTTAGTTGATTGGCAGATCACTTTCTGCGGGTAATAGTCCCTCCGAAATTAAAAAAGTAAAAATAATAATATAATTAAATAATATAATTTGGTCACTCAATCCAGGACTGTTTGTGGGACACTGCTGGGCACAATTGGTTATCGTGTTTCGCCCACAAAATATACAGTCAATTCACTTTACAGTATATTCTGTGAAGGGCTTTCAGATGTCTCAATGATGTGCTATATCAAATGCAAGGATTATTATTATACAATCTTATTCTGCTGAAATTATTGTTACAGATAAACTCAGTGAGATGCTGAATCTGAATCTGGGAGACAAGAGATCACAGCAAATCTTACTTTGCTTTGTATAGAGTGTACAATATAGACAAATTCTTCATAAACTACAAATAAGGTACACTCATTGCTCATTTATCAGTGTAAGGTTTTTGCACAAGGAAAAGTTGGTTGGTACAGCAGATGTCATGTTCAGACTGTAATGTTTCAGAGAGCCAGTACAGATAGGCATGATGGTCCATATAGGTTGTTCCGTGCTGGACATTTCTATGGTTCAACAACTGTGGAAGCAATGCACTGGGAATCAGAGGCGCTATAAAACTTAAAGCTCTTTCTTACTGAAAGTGGCCGTGACTCATAGAATAAGATAATATAATATTGCTGACAGAGTGAGCTTTAGCTCCTGACAGGAAATAATCAGGAACCCACTACCTTTAATGAATTCCAGAATCTGGGTTTCCCTGCTTTCCAGCAGCAGCCTCACACACACTGTGGTGAAATAGCGATTGGCCACTTCCTTGTCCCTCAGCACTCTCTGTAGCAGCCGTTCAAGGTGAGCTTGTGTGGTCTGCAGCCCCTGTCGACTCCGTGTCAAGTAAGCAATATACGGAGCTCGTTTTCTAAAGGCAAAGGAGAAGGAGACAAACCTTGTATTACTCTCCTAATAACTCAGTCGGAATATAGTGATAGGAACATCAGCCAGGTCATCAAGTCATCTCAGTGACCCTGGACTACAAACAAGACAGTAAATAGCACAAGGCCATTCTATCCAACATGCGTGTTTTGCTGCTTCCCCCACTGGAGCGATCTACTCTAATCGCAGTTCTTCTCCTCTTCTACATCACGTCTGTCCTGAGACGAGCTGGTTCACCAGAGCTATCTACTACTGTCCCATTTCCCCCGGGTCTACTTTTCCCTCAGGTCTGTCCAGGTCCCCTTTAAATGCTCTCATGCACTCGGCTTCCGCAGGGAAGGGCCAGTCGTTATCAACGAAGCAGAATTTATACAACAACAAATAAAATCGGAAGGGTGCCCCAAGGCAATGAAGGGTTAGCACCTGAGCTGGGAGTGGAATAAAGAGGGGTGGAGGGTAGGGGCAATGAAGCTGAAGGCACGGTCAAAGAGGAAGGTCTTGAGACCGGCCTTGAAAGAGGCGAGGGAGGGAGCGAGGTGGAGAGATTCAGGGATGGAGTTCCACAGGGTGGGGGCAGAGAAGCTGAAGAAAACATAGAGAGAAAGGTTCTACCTGTAGTCTTCTGTGATGGCAAAGAGTAGCTTGCGGCAAGTCCTGCTGTCAAACCTGCTGACGCATCGCATGGTTTCCTGAATCTGGGCCATCAGGTTCTTATCCTGCAGATTGATGGCTTCCGCCAGCTGCACTTTGAGGAAGCAAACTATCTCGTTGTCTGACAAGGCAAAGGGAGGGGGTGTGGAGGGAAAGAGCCAAGAATAAGTCCTGTAACCATAGTCACGAAAGAACTGGAACAACTAACGGTCATTTTCATTTACCTTCAGAATCTCCATGCTCGGGACCCCCTGGGGGGCCATTCCGTGTGGTCGAGTGACTGACGAGAGGAAATGCCACAGAATCAGCGGAGCACAGCGCCATTCGCAGCTTTTTCTTTGCGTCTCTAAACACAACAATAAACAACAACAAATGACATTTACACAACGCCTTTCACTTCAGAAGGACATCCAATGCACTAGACAGTCAGGGATTTGGACCCGAGGTGGGGGTCGGGGTAGGAGGGTGGCCTTTAAGAATTCCCCTTTAAGAAACCCGTGCTACTCCTCGTCATACAACGTGACCCTCCAGGATGGGTTTATAAACTGATCTACGTGGACCTAATACAGTACACGGAGGGTGTGAAAAAGAACATCAATAGACAGTGCTCTATGCATATCGTTCCTGATGACGCCCGCTGACCCAGAGAGAGAGAGCTACCTGAAGGAGAAGGTGGAGTCTGGAAGCTGGGCAGATTGGCTGGCAGAGTCCGGTAGGTCATCAGCTGACAAGTTTTGAAGAGTATCATCACGTGGAGAATCGTGCACACTGTCATCTCCAATCACCTCTGCGATACAGATAACTCTTAGAAACAGTCTCTCTTGAAGTTAGCAGTAGTAAATGGGTTATGAAGTGGGTTTCCTCTTACACCAAAAAGACACAACCTACCTGGGACATCATCATTTCCAACCGCTTCATTTGGACTCGCCCGTTTAATGGCACTCCTATATTTGTCCAGGATATCCTCAGCAGCTTGTGTCTGGGCATTCAACCTGGGCTCATCTGGCAACACACAAGCACCTCGATCACACACACACGCACTGAAGTTCAACTACTTGCTTTCTCTTCAAAGCCAGTCACAGTTAACGTTCCTTCTTTAAATTAGTATACAAGCACAATAGTTAATTACACGGCATGCTAAAATATCACAACAAATATTTTGAATGCATTCCCCACCACCACCCCGGAGCATAATTTGAGCGCAATTATTTTGTTAATTACTTTTGATTTGGAAGCTGCTGAACCAAACTGAGTGGCTGAGTACTTTTTTTAAAAAAATCGGAGTACATTTTTTTTTACCTGAGCACATTTTTATTTCTATACTGTGGTCAGAACTCGCTGTTAGTGGCTCTAGAAAGTATTCAGTGATATTTTCCAGCTGTCAAGATACTGAAACAGCAGTTGTACCAAAGGGCCATTTGAACGAAAGCTGCAACAAAGCCATCGTTTACCTGGGAGAATTACGTGAGGTAAATGCACAGAATCGCATTAATTAGTTTATGATGATTTGGATAATTTGCATCAATTCTGATTTTTTTTCTTTACTATCAGCCACTTTCCCAGCTTCCTTAAAGGACAATGAAGAAGGAGGACTGTTAACAGCAATCATTCTCTCCTATCATCTCCACCCCCCCATTTCCCTTATGTTAGTCCTAGACCTGGAGTGGTGGAACACATTATGCTTTGTTTTGCCGGCCAAAAAGTGGATCTTTATTTATTCGTCTAGCAACTCATTTTACAACACTTAAGATGAGTGACCCCCAACAGACATAGTCTTTTTACAATGCCATTTTCCAATCATGGGTGTACTCGTTCCTTTCTTCATTCTGTGTCAAATCCCACAATTGTTCCTCAATGACTGATCAATTCCTTAATCATTATTTTCAAATAACATTTTGTCTGAAGGATTTTCCTGGACTGTAACTACATCCCGCCATCTCTTAGCTTATTCTGACTCAGAGATGCTGACAACCAATGAAGAGCATTTAGGTCATGCCCAACACATAAAATCATCACCAGTGACAAACAAAGAAAATGTTGAAGGACAGTAGGAAACAGGAAAAATGCAAGGAAAGTGGTATGTGGTGGTAAGTGGGAGCAGTGAACATATCAGGCAAGCAATGGCTACATGTATGGAGTCACTTAAAAATCAGGTCCTCTATAAATCCTTTGAATTCAAACAGAACAAAGACTTCAACACTGACCACAACATCACTTGAACCAGCCGGTCTCAGCCAAGCAAGTTACTGAGATGGTCCACAAAACAAAGCATAGTGAACCATTCTATGGGGACATATGTGGTGATAAATGGTCAGGGGGGAGGGGGAGGAGATAATGGCGTGAAGATTCTCCTGTCAAACTGTATTGGACAAATATTCAACAAATCCATTACCTTACAACCATAAATTCAGAATTCTACAAAATTTGCAGCCACTTTCGATGAAACAACATTGTCACTGTATGACTAAACTCGATTAACTCGATCAGCACTTTCCCCTTCGGGTGGCCACATTTATCAACTGACCCCCTTACCCCACAGCACTCAGATATTCGGTGGCAGGAGGCAAATTCGTCAAATTTTTTTACAAGTCCCAAGAATGTCCAGGTGTACTTTTGCACTTCAATCAAAATTAGCAATTTGTGGTTCCTCCTCAGTCAGCCTCACAGTCTATGTATGTTAGCACTATGTTTATGCGATACTGGGCAAAGGTAGGGAGCTTTACCACGGTACAGACTCCATTCTACTACACTACTACTGCCATTTGCATGCAACGGAAGTAAAGTACATTACAAAAAAAAGGAACACTGGTGAATGAAGGTTTGTGATTATTAAAGAATATCCTATTTGGTTATAGGTGTGATTTGTCTTTATAAACCTCATTCACCACTCATTATGTAAGGTAGGGTCAATCAGCCAACCTTGCATAGCCTGAAACCTTTCCTGTGCACCATCTTCTTTGTCTTTCTCTTGCTTATCTTTCTTCCTGAAGGAAATGGGAGCTAAAGAGAAAATATACCGTATTACAAAAGCAAAGCAACTTCTCCACCCTGCACCAGATGAAGAAAATCATGGCTTTCAACCAAAACTGAGCGGCAACGTGCAACGTATACCAACAGGGGCTCAGGGTCATGACAACATCCTTTGACAATATTGCGGGTACATTGAAAATATTCAAATGCATTTCTGCCTGCAGCTTGTTATTAACTAGATATGCTTTTGTCAACCACACTGTTAAATCCGGCCATTTCACAAGTGGCCTGCCTGGCACAGATTGCGTTACGAAAACCTGAAGATTTCATGATTTGGACACAGATGGTAACAAAAATTATAAGTACAAGCTTCCCCTCTCGTTTTTTGTGTGTGCGCGTGTGTGTGGAAGGGAGGGTATCCAAAAGCATTGTGTTAGGTTACAAAATCTTTGTAACTGGAGCCTAGAAACCCTGGACGGGTGGGAATAGGATCAGGCCAGAATGTTGAGACAAGAATAAAGGTAAAGTTACGAAAAAATAAAAACCTGATCTTGTCAGTTCCATGCAATGTTCTTCAGCAATGCGTAGCCTGCTTGAAAGCTCAATATTAATGCACCACAGTAGTTATTGTCAAGCAGCAAAATACAGATTGCAAACAAGCAGCCTTTTTGTGTACATAGACAAGAGGTAATCAAACACTCGGAGCCACCACAGACAAATGCAAAGGAAAGTTATACAGTTGTGTAGTTAGGCTAGAGAATAAAGAGTTTGTTTTGAGGTACCTACGAAATGTTAAAAACGTTTTTCAATAAATAAATTAATCCAGTTATTTTTATTATTAAGAACCATTTTTCAAACCAATATAAACCCCAAAGACCGACCTTTAGGGATCGCAGAGACAAATCGCTTCTTCCACCAAGATTTGTTAGACTTTTCATCATCGCTATCCTTCCTATCGTCCCCCTGCACAAATATACACTGACGTTAGGCACAACTTACGCACAGAGGCCAGCTTTTCAATCGTAATCTAGTTTTACATGACAAGGTTGTGAATATTGGGTCTACATTCTGTCCCGTTCCACATTCTCGTACACATACATCTCTTAGCATCAAGTATCGCCCCCAATAAAAACTCAGGGAAATCTGAATACTGAATCACAACTGAATCATATTCTCGTAGACAATATTTTCTTCCCATCTTGTAGAATTTAGGACGAGCAACTATGTAAATAAAAGCCAACTTCAACTGAAAGCAAGTTCCTGGCCTGGTAGGTAATCCAGAACAAGGGGCATAATCTTGAAATTAGAGCAAGGACATGTAGGAGTGAAATTAGGAGGCAGTTTTTCACCCAAAGGGCAGTGGGAATCTGGAATTCTCTCCTCCAAAAAGCTGTGGATACTGGATCCACTCACATTTCCAAGACTAAGGTGGATAGGTATTTGTTAGGTCGGGGAATCAAGACATATGGGACAAGGGCTGACTTGAGGTATAGATCAGCCATGATCTTACAGAATGGCGGAACAGGTTAGAGGGGCTGAATGGCCTCCTCCTGTTCCTATGTAACCAGCCCAGACCTTACCAGGGAATCTTTGCTGGGTGAAGATGTAGGACCACAGTTGACTCCAGTTGACGCTCCCGTCAAAAACAGCTCTTCGGCTCCTGCCCGCCTGCTGGCAGGGGAATTCCAACCAGGATCGCTCATCGGCCGACGAGATGAGGAGACGATATCCGAGCTCCTGCTGCGGACCAGCCTCTCCGAGTATGAGTACCTCTGCTTCAGCAGTTCGGCCTCGCTCTGCGCGCTCAAGTGAGAGGGGAATGGTGGCAGTCTGCCCTCGGTGCCTCCTATTGCTCCCTCTAGTATGGGAGGATCGGGAGGTGGCTGCGAAGGTCTGGCATAGTGTACTTTAGGCCTGACTATTGACGGTGTGATTGACGCTGAGAAGCAAAAACAATATTAGAATGAATCACTGACTTGACGAACTGTACAAGGTTTCCAGTGAAAATTCTATTATACTGATAGTCTTAAACAAAGGAGCTGACCCTCTGCTTAAGCAGTAACATAAAGAGAAACGTATTAGTCTACAATACATCACAGCAATATCACCAGAAACATGTGTTTGGTTGCTTTGATTTGAGATGGAACCAAGAAGTCGATGAAGCCTGCTCCGCCAGTTTATCAGATCAAAGCAGGTTTTTCAAACCAATTCCCCTGCATTTTTCCCATGTGCATTAATCTTCTGCTATGTATCTCCCAGTGCAAAATGCACCTTGAAAGAGTATCAACCTACCCTCAGAAGCCAGTGGATCAAACATTGCAAGCAAGGAGTCAGTCTGAGAAGGCGGAGAAGTCAGCGAATGAACTCCTGAAGAGAATTCCATGGAAATGACAGACAGAGAATGAAAACATTACGCTGTAGAATTCCCAAACGTACCACCACAGATTCTGAAAGATACACAATACTGAAGACCATGATACCAGAGAAACATTCACCATTCGTTCTGATTTTTAAAAAGCCAGTATTTCATTTACCTATCAACCACTTTTGCGAGGCAACAGAAAAGCACAGTGAGATATTTACACTTGGTCAGAAACCAAAAAAGGCTTAAAATGAAAAAAAACTTGAAAGAAAAGGGGTGAGGAAAACGATTACTTTTGAAATCTAAAGTCTTGCCTTACAATGTGTTGAAAAGATTTGTAAATAATAAGTCCTTGCATTTGATATAGCACCTTATCACCTCTTCAAGATGTCTGAAAGGGCTTCACAGAATATGCTGTAAAGTGAACTGACTGTATATTTTGTGGGCGAATCGCAGCAGCCAACTGTGCACAGCAGAGTCCCACAAACAGTTGTGGATTGAGTGACCAAATTATTTTTTTCACGTCTATTACATGAGGCAAGTTGGAAAGGGCCAAACTGATAATTGCTTTCAGTGACAAACACATTAAAAATGAATTACCAAAATCAATCAGTCACAAAAGGCTGTTTTACAATAAAATGTAATCCATTTATTCCATAGGATGCTGACACTTAATATGTGACATTGAGGCGACAGCCAGTGGGGGGATGCTCGACAGAAGAACTGTAAATAGTATCCAATAGCCCCCACAATCAGGAGTGATTTCTCAGACAGGGAAACAAATTTGATTTTATCTGGCACTACATACTGTGCAAACGAAGAAGGACCTGTTAAATGTGTCTGTGTTTGCAGTCAGCCTGCAGGGGAAAGAGTGCTGTTCCCTCAGTTTTTTCTCTCTCTGACCTCCAATCTATTCACTGATCAAACTGGTCATCTAATCACAATAGACTTGTGGCTTTTTTTAGCCTATAACCAAAGTGTTCCACAAAGCTCTGAGCAGGCAAGGAAACGTCATCAACACACATGCACACATGCTCTGGTCGAGAGGTATTGGAACTTTCGCTGCTGGTTAGGGGATTCAAAGATTGAGAGGGCATGAAAAATAATAATAATAACGTGGTCACTCTATCCATGACTGTTTGTAGGGACCCTGCTGTGCGCAATTGGCTCCGCGTTTCGCCTACAAAATATACAGTCAATTTGCTTTACACTATATTCTGTGAAGTGCTTTGAGACATCTTGAAGACGTGATAAGGGACTTTAACAAATGCAAGGATTATCATTAGTAGTACTAGATAGGGAGAAACTGTTTCCACTAGCAGGTGGGTCAGTAACCAGGGACATAGATTTAAAATAATTGGCAAAAGAACCGGAGGGGAAATGAGGAGAATTTTTTTTTTTTTTTTTTTTTTTTTACACAGAGTTGTTACAGTCTGGGAAACACTGCCTGAAAGACTGGTGGAAACAGAGTCAATAACAACTTTCAAAAGGGAATTGGACAGGTACTTGAAAAGGAAAAATTTGCAAGGTCATGGGGAAAGAGTGGGACTAGTTGGTAGCTCTTCCAAAGAGCCGGCTCAGGCACGATGGGCCGAATGGCCTCTTTCTATGCTGTAATATTCTATGATTCGATATTGCCTGCTTTTTTTGTTTTTGGTTAAAGATTTCTGTGTTTGTTGAGGTAAACAAACCACATAGATTTACTTACCGTGAATAATATCATCCAATTCAGGGCTGGTGATGGAATCTTTGCCTCCGAAATCTGAGCTGCACTCTGACCGCAGATCCTCCGTCTTGTTGTGGATGTCCTCTGACGTGGCACTGACTCCTGTTAAAATCCAGTAAAGAAAAAAGCCTAAAAGCTGTTAATTCTGAAAATGTTAGTGTAAAGTATCACGATTGAATTTTGTGTTGTTTTACTTTGAAAGTTGCCATTATTTTGGGAGGGAGGGCTTGGGGAAGGATCAAACCTATTCTAAAGATGGGGAAGGATAGAGGCAGAGAGATAGAGGAAGAGTGTTCCAGCATTTCCAGAGAGGGTCGCAGTGGCTGAAAGAGCGGCCATCGATGGTGGAATGGAGGTCAGAGTCGGTACAGTACCTGATACAACGCTAAGACCGGGGGTACTGGGCCGTGAGCTGACCTCCCTCACTTCAGTGTCATCGGACGTGCTGCCCAGTCCCGAACAGCTCTCCAGCTCCTGCAGTCGCTCCTCCTGCTTCAAATCTGTGGCCTCTGCAACAACATGTACACAGGCCACTTGCTCATCATTCCTGCCCATTCCTGGTGTCCGCAGGTCAGAAACTTTAGAAGGACTTGGAAGTCCCCAGCTCCATCATGTATATATGTGTGTATGTGTGCATGTTTAAAAACAAATAATAATAATCCATGCGTTTGATATAGTGCCGCACAGGCTATACGGTAAAGTGAATTGACTATATATTTTGTGGGCGAAACACAGCAGCCAATTGAGCACCAGTGTCCCGCAAACACTCGTGGATTATTATATGGGGGTTATTACTAAATACAGGGAGTTTTTAAACTCGCTGAAAATCAAACAGAATTAGCCTTCTCGACAGAACAGGGAACAGTTATTATCACAACATTTGAATGTTTCAGTTGACAAACGTCGAGATGTTTTTGAAATGGTTTGCGGTTGTGCGACAATAAACAGTCCTGTATTAGTTGTTTTTAGTGAGGCCATACTTACAGCCATTGAGATCCTAAATGTCCCAACTAAACTGGGCAAAGAACCGAGAAGTTTCTTTTTATTGATGGACACATTTGACAGCCATTATCTACTAACTAACAGCCTCCTCCTTCTCGCCCCCAAAAGCTGTACTGACCGGAGTCACTTGGTAGAACCTCCACACTCCAGGCCTCGCTAGTTGTCTCAGAGATGGTCGACCCTGTGCAAGGGTCAAGCAACACTGAACTTGAGCCTGGTAAACCCAGCAAGCTACCCAGCATGTTTTCTGCTGCTGCACCTATTGAAGCAAGAACACAAGGTTACAGTAACACGAAGACACCACACCAGAAAACAACAATAAATTGCACTTACACACCGCCTTTCACATCGGGAGGATGTCCCAAGGCACTGACAGCTGAGGATAGGAATCAAGAGGGATGATTTTTTTCACCCCTTTAAACATTTAATATTTTTTAAGAAATGCGTTTGCAGATGAGGACTGGCCATTCATTCACAAGAACAGCAAACACCTCAATGCTAATGGACTGACGTTCAGATTTATAATAGTCCCAGGAAATATCACGCTTTCATCCCCACCGTCCAATAAATCTGTCACTTGTGGCAGCGAACACCCAATTCAGAGGAAACCTTCACAGAGGAAGTTTGCGGATCACAGGACGGAGAGGGTTGGGTTGGATTTAAGACATGACATACTCCATAGGATGTGCTGAACACTCCCATTTCGTACATTCTCTTTTGATATTCTGAAAGAATTCTCAGTATAATTTTTTAAAAATTCATAATTTTAATTCAGAACTGCCCGATACTCAGTACTTTTAACCATGATTCTGGCAAACACAGCTAGCTTGTCCTACCTTTGAAATAAACAACAGCCAATTTTTGATCAACCATTTTTTTCCCTGAGATTATAGCAATAAAGGATCCATTTACAGGGTCCTGAGCATTATTTTCAGGTCACTCCCAATTTAAAGCTTGCCAAAGACAAATACAGGTATATGATTAAATGAGAGGCACAACAAGATCTGAAACAATTAGAATTTATGCCTCATTATCATGGTAATCTTATCACTGGGATAATGAGGTATTAATGGAGATTTAATGTGCATCTCATAACACTATCCCTTAGAGAAACACATAAGGAAATTGCTGCAAATTCAGTTAATGATATAAGCATCCCAAAACACATAATCTAAACGCATGAAAAATGCTGGATGCAAATGAGAAAGAGCCAAGGTCAATCACACTGTAGGGATTCGGCAAATGACAGTTTTATTTTAATGTCAGGTTTAAAAAAAGGAAGTTGTGTTGTTCATAAACAATTGAAGTTTTCAGCAGCAATCTGAAACACTGAAAGTATGTCATGAATTTACCGTATAAGAGTGCACATGTGCAGCGCTTTTCACCGTCTGAAACGGCACCACAGAGGCTCACCCAACGTGGGGCTCGAGTGAGAGGGCACGAGTGAGCCAGTGATTCACTATGGGACTATTTTGCCAAGTGGATTGTAGCCATTTCCTTAAGGGGGTGGTGGTGTGTATGTGTGGAGGGGGTGGTGGGGGGGGGGGGGGGTATGAGGGGGAATAAATAAATCAAACCAGTCAGCTGGTCATTCACCACAGGCTGCTTTTCATACATCTGCTAGTGGCTGCCTCCAAAGCTGGGAAATAATATTGAGGTTTAAATTGGGGGTGAAAGGAAATGGGAGCAAGAGAGGCATAGTGCACAGCTGGAGAATGAAAGAGCTTGCTTCATTGAGTGGTTTCTCTCAGTCTCTCTCCCTCAATCTATTTCATAGAAACAAGTTAATTCATATACAGTATACAGTCAATTCACTTTACAGTATATTCTGTGAAGTGCTTTGAGATCTCAAAAACATGATAAGGTGCTATATCAAATGCAAGGATTATTATTATATAATCTTAAGGATGCAAAATAACCTCATCTTGGATGAAGGTGATGTCCTCATGACAAGATGTGACAGCTACTTTCAAAGCAGTTTGGGTGTAAATTGTTTGGATACTGGCAATTTTAGAAAGTCAATTCTGAATCGCAAGGCAGCACTTTAAGCTTCAAGTTTTGTCACACTTGAATCTCACTCTATAAGTTTGTCAGCCAACTTGTGTTCATAAAGAAACAAAATATGCAGAAAAATTACATCTAGTGCATTTATAGACAAAATAAAATGTTCTGCAATATCCAACATCAATCATAAACACATCGGGGTTTAATTTACAATATTTCCAAACAGATTTCTCAATAACTAAGTAGTAATTGAATTTCTAAAAGATCCAATGCATTATTCAGCACGTTTGATGTGTTAGAAACTCAATAATTGCACATTTTGTATTAAGAAATACCATAAATTTGTGCCCATCAGCAAGATTTGTAGCTGGTCATCAATCGACTGCAATAATCTTTTCGAGACCACCATGTTGAACGTGATAGGTTTGCATTCTTCCCATGTAGCTAAACGTCCACTAAAATCCTCTCTCTTAATCATCCTTTCTCTTAATCATGTGCTATTTATCAAAGGGCAGATGAGAAAACTTACCACCCCTCTTTATTAAGAACATAATTGGTTCATTAATGTCATTTAGAGCTGGTTCTCCATCTTAAACACACACACACCAATTATCTCTTTAAAACATTGGTTGCTTCTACGTCAAGATACTGTACCGACATTACCTAATTTTGATGTCCAATTATAATCCCACTCCAAAACACAAGTAGGAGCGTTGAAACGCTCATAGATTCACCAGCAGGTGTGAAGCATTTACCTGCAATATCCTGAAGTCGATCTTCATCGATGTTTGGATCAAAATCGCTGCCCAGGACGTCAGTGCTCCAGGTCTCGCTCACGGTCTCCGAAATGTCCCTGTCATCTGTCAGCCCCATCATGTCTCGAATCTCAAATTTACGCAACTTGTCATCCAGATTGTCCTGTGTTGTGGCTGAAAGGAACGCAGGGCATCACTCTCTTCGGTCACCTTCATCATTCAGCTTTGCACAGAATAATTTGGGGTTCTAGTATTCCTCACCCCCTTTTAAGGCAGTGACTCACACTGAGACATTCTCCCACAGACAAGCGGCCTTTCTTATTGAGCACATCCTGACAGTGACAGCAAACTGTGACAGCAGATGGCATCACAGCCAATCTTCACCCTCCCCCAACCCCAACTCCCACCCCTCCACACACACACTTTTCGGCAAGGGTGTCTGGAGCAGCAATAAAGAGCCCTATTATTTTTTTTAAAATGGGAGAGAATTCGGGGACAGTCTTTTCCGGCTATGACTGCTCACTAGTGTCAGTGACGCAACAGATAAGAGTATTAAAGAGTATGGAGAAAAGCCAGAAAACCTCATACGATCTAAAATAAAACCAACCACACAAACCAGTGTTGAATGGTTCCTGTTCCTACAATGAACTCTCTGTCCTGCCTACCTTGTTCATGCTCCAGCAGCTGCAAAGCCTCCACACCATTACTGCCGGACGGTCCTGCTCCCAGCTCCGAGACAGATTCACCCTCCAGGTCCAGCGAGGAGACAGAATTTGAGCGGTTCGAAGGCCCTGTTTTAAGTAAAATTTGCCAAATGTTACCATAATTAAATTTTGGTCTTTAACATTAGAATGCTTCACTGTCCATCAACCTGCCAAACTTACTGCTGTGAATGAAGTTCAACCACATCGACATAACATCAGTGATGCACCCAGAACTTGGGAGTTCCCACCTGAGCAATCAGGAGCAGTTTAAGACTCCACAGCATCATCTTAAAGCATTTTTAATCCAGTGCTTAACTTTGGACAATCAGTCAGGATACGGGCATAAAACTACATACAAACACTGAAATCAAATAGAAAGACTGATTTTTCCGGCTGAATTCTCCAGATATTGATGGGAGTGGAACTAGGCACAAAGTGGCTAAAGATTTAAATGGTAAAACTTAAAAGTGTTTAAGAGAAAATGCTTTCTTTCTCATTGTGTTATTCTGTGATAAGCACTCCAATGCCATTTGATCACTATTTTACATTCAAAATTACAGGTTTGCTGAAGACTGATTTGGTCTGAAGGACTCAATGCTATTTATTAGAGAAGAAATTCCCCCACCTTCTGATATTCCTTCCAAGTTGTCACTGCAGAGTGAAAAACGTAGCGTTTTGTCTGGCTTTCCATGCAGTTTACCATCATCTACAGGCACCTCTCCCGGTCCATTCTCAGCAAGCTGCATGCTCAGAACCTGGCAAGATTGTAAAGAGGAACTTGTTAGATTGTGTGTTAACATCCAGAACTGGGCAAAACTCTCAACAACAATAATTGTGCTCTATCAACTGCTCGAACAGAGGGAGATACTTAAGTTAATGTTCCACAGGTTCACACGTTTTTAGGCTACTTTGAAAATGATCATTCCTATCCATTAAAGCAAGTTTACACCAAAGACAGCTGCTAATGGGTCTGTAACAATATGCAAAAGCAATCTAAGAATAATAATCTTTGCATTTGATGTAGTGCCATATCACATCTTTGAGAGGTCTAAGTGCTTCACAGAATATACCTCTAAGTGAATTGACTGTATATTTTGTGGGCAAAACGCGGCAGTACACAGTAGTGTCCCACAAACAGTTATGGATTGAGTGAGCAAATTATTATTATTATTATTTTTGAAAGGGTTATTACCCCCAGAAAAGCGATCCGTCAATCGACTAACAACCGGGTTATTGCTAGGTAAACAGAGGCATGTGGAGTAATGAATTTGCCCAATGTTTCGCCCAGCCCGGGAATCGAACCCAGGTCCTCTTCCTTGTGAGGCGAGTGCTCTAAGTCATTCATATTGTTAGTGAGAGCTTGGCAGCCCAAAGCAGTATTTCTTTAACATCCTCCAATCCTATGAATTATTTTTCTATGTGTTTCTGTCTCACAAGTTTTGTCGGTCTTAACAGACCGTTAACAATATGCTGACCACTAGGCGGATTGAATTCCTTGTTTTTTTAAACTCCCAGAACAGAGAGCGAGAGAGAGAGAAAAAAGCAGATTCACATTCTGCCTTGGTTGCTGTGGTTTGGTTTATGGCAGCTAAAAATCAAGCAATGTCTGTAGGTTCTATAGTGAAAGACAGAAGAGAAACACTGAACTACAATGAGGGCGTTTGTTGGAGATGAGCATACAGGACTGCAATGTGGGTTCACAGCATTACACAAAAAATCGTGGTTTCATAAAATGAGTCAGTGAACAGCAGGTCTCATAACAGCATTTCTTTCATGCACTTCCCATTTCTGTACATGCATGAAGACATTAAACTGTACTGCAAATTACTGAGTGGTGTCATGTTTTTTAAACTAAAGTCCCAAGTTAAGCATGGACAGTTATACAGACCTCAAGCTGCAGTAAGCTGTATTTTTCAAGGATGCGAAGGAGCATTACATCCACTCTGAACAGAAAAGGTTTTTTTGGGGGCACCAAAGCCAAACACAACCGCTGCATCTGCAGCTCTAAGTTGAAATGAAGCAATTAACCTGTTACATCACACTATTTCACCCACAAAATATAGTCAGTTCACTTCACAGTATATTATGTGAAGTGCTTTGAGACATTTCGAAGACGTGGTAAGGAGCTATATCAGATGCAAGGATTATTATTAATATAATTTCATTATACACTCAAGTGGATATCAAGCTTGGGAAAAGTTGCTACAGAAATTTAAAGGTTCAATATTATTTCATACTGAGAATAATTCTGGAGGGGGCTGAGGTGAGTGAGGGAAGGGTCACTGACTAACTTTTAAGGGGGGGGGGGGGGAGAATCATTGACTAATTTGTGGATACGTTTCACCTCACTACTAGATGGAGATTCAACCTTTTGAAGGTTGCGCTGCACAGTCTAACTTACATCATAGGAGACCTTACCTCGTTTTCCGACATCATGCCAGGGCTGACCTGGGAGGAGATACCCAGGCAAATGACCAAGACTTCTTCAGGCTGAACTTCCTGTAATGACTCCTGAGAAGTACTTTCATGTTCCAGGTGCTGGTCTTTCGCTTCATTCGCCCGGTTCCTATTCCTCCCAGCTACAACAACAACAAATTACATTTGTATCGCTCCTTTCACAATGGGACGACATCCCAAGGGATTTGGACTGGAGCAGGGGGCTGGGATCAGGAGGGGTGGAGGGCAGGGAAGATAGGGGTAGGAGGTTGGCCAAAGGTGCGGTCAAAGAGGATGGTCTTGAGATATTGATCAAAACATTGATTGGAAAGAAATGAGCTTTAGCCGAACCACAGTACATCTAATTCACATCCAGACTGACTAAACTAACATAACTACGTACTACTTCAAAACACTCCATTTCTTTTCTGCCTAAAATAGCAAGTTGATGCAGCACAACAGAAACAGGCTCGGTAAAGTATGGGTCCATTGGGAATGAACACTTAAAGTGACAATTTAAATATGTTCATTCCATCTTCAAGTGGGTATAAATGAGGTTTATGAAGGAAGAGATCTATAGAAATTGGTTTCCAAAAGAATGCTTAATATGTTCTTTTCTACAATTGCATCTAGTTATAGGACAATGACATTTACAAAATAAAAAACAATTAATTCTAAACACTTGAACAATTTCAGACATATTACAGTTTCAATTAGACCTTAGTTTTCTTTGTGTAAGTATCATTCTCAGATCTTATACTGCTGAAAAGCTATTACCCACCAAATGGGGTTACAAGGGGAATATGAGCGGTCAGGGTTGTAGTGGAGGAATCCCAGGCAGTAATGGCAGCTAATTGTTGTCCTGAGTGCAGGCAGCATTAAAGGAAGGAAAACCAACTGCATGTTAATCATTCCCATAGAAAATGCAAAGTCAGAAAAACATTTCTTATCCCATAACCAAGTTGCACGTTTTCGCACTAGTTTGTCATTTAAACTCGTAACCTATAAAAAACAAATACATGCAACACATTCACTACTCCCAGGACACTGAACTTTTTTTGCAGCCTTGAATATCACAAACAACTCAAATTTGATGATAATAATAATCTTTGCATTTGATATAGCACCTTATCACATCTTCGAGATGTGTCAAAGCTCTTCACAGAATATGCTGTGAAGTGAATTGACTATATAGTTTGTGAGTAAAACTAATCTAGGAAGTCCCACAGACCGTCCAGAGGAGATGCCGGAATGGGAAGTTAATTAGTGCTGAGTCAGTTTGCCAAGTGAAAGTAATATACAAAGCAGGATTTCCTCCTGACTTATATTAAAAACGGGTTTTGCTGCTGTGGCCAAAAGTCGCAGGGTGCATGCAAATTATAAACATGCACTGATCGCCCAACAGCGTTAGCAAGCCGGCTGTAATTTGTGAATTATCAAATCAGCCAGAAACCCAGCATGCACAGATGTGTAGTGAAGGAAAGGACTGGATTTATTCTAGCAGCTGAATATATTTAATAAGTATGCCAATCCCTACTTCCACTTCCCCACTCAAGTGAAATAAAAGGTACAATTCTACTGATATAAACCCGACAATCACCCCCGGGCCAAAGGGAAAATATTTGGATCTCACTCCCATTCAGAAACACTACCACTCCAATCAGTTAGAATAACTTCAGTACCCACTGAAAAGCATTCTGTTGTTGCTCAGAATGCAAAATGAGCATTTTAAAATATGGCCCTCCGTTCCACCATCGATGGCCGCGCTTTCAGCCATTACGTCTTGAAACTCTGGAACACTCTTCCTCCATCCCTCTGCCTTGCCTCTTCCTTCACCATCTTCAGATTACGCTTGAAGACCTTCCTCTTCAACTGTGCCTATTGTCACCTCCCCCCTCCCCCCGGCTTGGCCTCATGCTCCACCACTGTCAAGTGCTCTGGGATGCTACCCTGTGTGAGGGGAGCTAGATGAATGCAAGTTGTTAAAAGTTGTTAGTTGAATTAAGCAGCACAGCACAAAGTCCATCTACATTACTGAAAGAGCTTCAGATTTCATATCGCTGAAGGGCAACATTAACCAGACTGAAATCAGCGAAACTGTACAAATTAACTTATTTACTGCTTGTTAGTCATTTCACATTCATAATAATTTAAACTGGAAACACATGTTTCTTAAATTCTTTCAAAAGATAATCTATTTCACTGTCATAATTTGCTGAAAGAGAAATCCTACATTATATAGAATGTAATCATATGGGGTTTGGAGCAGGTAAATTGAGCAGGCAAAGGGGCCAACAAGACAGAAGTTCACAGCTTAACCAGTTCAGTTACCATGAATCGACTCAATCAGTGCCAGATGGAAATTCGTCTTGATTTTAACTGTTATTTATTTTAAATAAACTTTAAGTGATGAAGTTACTTGCTTAAGCCTCACAGCATAACCCAGTGAAAGGGTTTGCTGTTGAATCTAAGTAGAACATGCACGATTTGGGCAAATATAGACAAAATGAACACAAGGCATATTTCCCAAGACACTGATTGCTCGGATGAAAACACAAGTGTCTTCCAGCATGATCACTGTAGGAGCATGCAGATAACACCCTACCCTTACCGTCAGAACAAAATCAGGAGCATTGCAACGTTTAAGTCTTTCAGCACCAAGCAAACTTAACACATTGCTTAATTCATTACTACTTTCAAAGTAAAACTGCCCATCACACCTGCAAAAGCTTTTTGTTCTTCAAAATCTTTAGATTAAATTATTTTAACATATTTGGACAATTGTAGATAAGATTAATAGGCATTTCTAAATTCCTAATTTGTTTAAATATATTGCACACACAGGACTTACAGCAGTCTTCACGGGGTTAACAAAAACAGCTGTGTCTCCTACCTATTGGCAGGCGATTTTTTTTGTTGGCTGGAGTGGTTGCAGGAGACAGCTGGGGTGTGCTGGAGGGAGTGAGCTCAAGGCTACTGCTCTTGCCCGTCCTGTGATGAGGAACGTTAATGATGAGATTCTCCAGAGCCATCCTGTCCTCCTCTCTCAGCAGATCCCCTGGCATGACATGCCGCGTGAATGTAACCTGTAACACCAATTAAACAGATAACATTTCACTTTAGCCAGTAAACAGATCTATTGCAACATGTGCAGACAAGCCGTGAACCTACAGAATTTGAATTCAGTGAAAGAAGTGAAATAAACCGAGTAAATTTTATTTATAAATTGAGAATACTCTCGTTCTTCATATCTCACAGAATCATAGAATCTTACAGCACAGGAGAAGGCTATTCAGCCCATCGTGCCTGGGCCGGCTCTTTCAAAGAGCTACCAACTAGTCCCACTCCCCTGCTCTTACCCTATATCCCTGCAATTTTTTTCCTTTTTAAGTACCTATCTAATTTCCTTTTGAAAGCTATTATTGAATCTGCTTCCACGACCCTTTCAGTGCTCTTGCTGCTTGCTGAAAGTCCCACGTGCGACTTATTGCTTGTATATATTTTTGGATGGGGGGGAGATGAGAAGAAAGAAAGTGAAACGGATGTGCAGAATGGGGGGCAAGGAGGAGAGGGGAAAGAAAGAGGGCAACAATGCTGTGTGCCCAGTGTCTGCTACTGCTTGCCCACAATGAGCCAATGGAGTAAATATACTGCATTAACACCAGCTGAAATTCCTTTTCAAACAGGAAATTGTCTCAATGGTCTCAATTCAACCCTGCCCAGAATGGCTCTATCAAATTCAGATTAGTTGTGAGCTGGGCACAACCCACAGTTCTTGCAGTGCATTCTCCAGCACACACTTGCACAAACCCACAAATTGCCACTTTAGGCAATTTGAACATTGAAGAACCATGTAATTTGGAACGGGGGGTGGAATTATTATACAGAAACATAGGAACAGCAGTAGGCCATTCAGCCCCTCAGGCCTGTTCCGCCATTCTATAGGATCTTGACTGATCTCTACCAATTACCCACCCTTGCCCCATATCCCTTGATACCCTTACCTAACAAATATCTATCTACAAGCATAGGAACAGCACAGACTGCTTGAGAGTGAAGAATGGGAAGCAAAGGACAATATTTAAGGGCAACAGCTAAATCTTTTGCAGTCAGTAAAAAGTTCACCTCCCTGACGAGATGAATTGTGTGCAGACCCGAAGGAATGCGAGGACTTACCAAGTTCATTAGCTGGTTGTGGGTCATGTAAATCACAGTCCTGCTGAGTCCCTCCAGCAAGTTCATGGAGGACATGGGAGGAGTTTCTACTGGTCGGCCTCCAATAATAGCGTCCAAGAAAGCTGCCACGCAACTCTGCAAAATCCAACAGTATCAATGGAATGGGGCAAAGTGAAGGATTAGAACCCTAATCTTGAGTTCACAGACATTCTGTGGTACTAATTAAGAGTCAAAGAGCAATTAATCCCTTTGGTTTTAGAGCACATTTTCTTGATAATCCCTCGGTCTCCCTTTGGTTTTCCTTCCCTCCTTCCAGGAAGGCTTGTTGCTAACTGTCTTGTTGCTAACTGAAGGAAAAAGCCATGCTCTTCTACTCCATAGCAAATGTCAGCAAATGGCCTGAAGTACGCTTATCCTGTCACAAGTCATCACCCAGGGTACTGACCTGTAATCACTAAAGCTAGTGACACCAGATTTGATCTCCCATGGAAAAAATGACACTCAGCCATCCTAATGCACAAATGTTGCAGCACTACTGAATCACCTACGCCCATATGACCTCCACAACGCAGCAGCTATTTTCTTCTGGCACAATCAGATAGGACTCCTGTCTGAACAACTCGCACATAAAGCAGGTCAAGGGAGACATTCTTAAATGAAGACACACCCAATTTGAACCCATCTTTCTTTTTCACACACAGATTGACCTGCATTTTCTATTTTTATTTAAAGTTTTCCCCAGCTTTTGTTCTTATCCACACGAATTACAGATAATCATTGCACTTTGTCTACATACACTGCCATGTGAACAGAAAACAACAACAAATTACAATTTTTTGTATAGCGCCTTTCACATCAGGAGGCAGTCCCAAAGCGCTAAACAGTCAGGGATCCACACATCTGAAAAGTAGCAAGTACCCACCTTAACATAATAATAAATAATAATAAACCTTGCATTTGGTATAGCACATTTTCACTCACATCTTCGAGATGTTTCAAAGTGCTTCACAAAATATACCATAAAGTGAAGTGACTGTACATTTTGTGGGGAAAAACAGCAGCCAATTGCACACAATTGTGTCTCACAAACAGTCGTGGATTGAGTGACCAAATTATTTATTTATTAATTTTGAAGGGGTCATTACCTGCGGAAAAGCAATCGGTCAATCGACTAACAACCAGGTTCCTACTTACTGCTAGGTAAACAGAGGCATGTGATGCAAGGAAACTTACCCAGTGTTTCGCCCTGCCTGGGAATCGCACCCAGATCCTCTCGCTTGCGAGGCGAGTGCTCTAACCATTGAGCTACAGGACTACACAATACATTTTATTACATAATAGTACATGTTCTACATTCAAATATATTATGAAGTTCCTCTCATCTCTTTTGAGCATTACCTTACTGATGGAAGGGAAGGTAAATGAAGGGTTAGCATAGGGTAAATAATCATAACTTATTTCCACTGAAATGCAAGGATGTAAGTCGAGAGACAAGAAAGCATAATTTGAATAGAATCAGAGAGAATTAACAAGGAGGTTAGAAAAAAATCCTTGCATTTGTTTTGCTTTTTGGATTGATAGTTCAGACGCCTTAGAATAGTATAACACAGAATAATATTCCACAGTAGAAGGTGAATAATCTTACTTTGTCAAATTTGCAGAGACTGTTCTTCAGTCGTGGATCCCCTTCCTCGCTGCCAATCATCGCCAGCTGCTGTAACAGTTTCCCGACCTAGTCCAACAAAGAAAATGATCTGAAAGATGTGTCTCTGCCTCCCAAATGGCAAATACGCAAAGCTCCACACCACTTGCCCAACTCTGAATCTACATTACACACTTTGAACAGTTACCTACTCTGGCACAACATTCCCACGATCACAACAGCACACAAGTCATCATGTTCCTCATGGTAATCTATCAATGTTGGACACACTAAACTCATTAATACAACCTGTCCATAAACAGCTTCACAAGTTCACCTCAGACTCATTTATATTCTCTCTAGACTGCAAAATACAATTCAAAATCCAGCTTATACAAGACCCTCGTTGAAAGGACAGATCAAAGCCAATTGCTCTTCAACTGAAAATAGGCGGAAATCCCTAACGCCACTGCCAGAGCGCTCTGGGACGTTGTTGTTGCCAGAGCACAGCGTTGGCATCAACATGTGAAAGAATTTCATTAAATCCACCTCTGCATCATCGCAAGAGAAACAAAGGAAGGAAATTATCTGAGTAAACTACTATCCATGGCGGCAGATACCAGAAACCAATCACATGCCGATTCAATGAAAGCTCACTCTGCATCAATCAACTGGAACCAGAATGAATTGAGACGCGCCACTAGCAACGTAAAACATTACTCTCTCATATCATAACTCTACTAGTAGCAAATAATTTGTACATTTATGTTCTTTGGTGCCATCAGTCTGCAACAGTTAACCTGTAACAGATCCACAGGCAAATGGGATTCTTGGTTTAACTCCTGCTTACAATACAATGCTTACAAGTTCAGCAAACAATAAGAGCATTGATTACAAAATTAGGTGTGTAAAATGCACTTTCATGAGATTTTCATGCCCTAAAATATTCAGAGGATGTAACTTATACATGAGTTCAAGATCTTTTTGGCAGCTGGAGTTAAAGGCACAGGTATGACCTTTATTTACGCTTGTATACGGGTTAGGGTATACCTTGTATAAATGCTGGAGGCAGGTTAGCTTCAAGTAAATTATTAAATTACAATGAGGCAGTGCACAGTTCCTTAAGCTGTAGCAACATGCTACAAATTTTTAAAACCGCTAAGAAATTTTGCATTTAGAGCTTTTACAGAATAGAGGCTCATTAAAGCTATAATGACCTACATTAACAAGGCTTATATACATTTTCTAAATTTACTCCACTCATTTACAAAATCTCAATGATTCTTACGCATTGAGAATAAATACCATGCATTTCCGGTTAGATAGATGCACAGCTTAAGGTAATACAATCCACCTTCGCTTCAGTTGTGTTCCAGTTACAGATTGACAACTCCACCGGGTCAATGAGATTGCAAGTATTTTGTAATGACAACATGCTCGCCCATTAATGTGCAAAACATTTCTGCTCCAAACAGACTTTAGTTTACTATCAATTCCAGTTTTACTCATTTTGTATTACACCAGCAATCATATTAAATTTACACATTTAGTAAAATTTTCAATTTTCCAACCATGAATCATTGGGAAACCATGTTGAAAAGAAATGACATTGGGGGAATTTAGTTTCTCTTAAGCAGCAACAGGATTGGGCACGTGCATCTGGCCATAAAACTGGAAAAAGGAGAGAAATATATCCAAGTTCCATCCTCTCATATTTAACGAGCATTCAATGCAACTTATCTTAATGAGACCATGGACTCCTCATCTCCCTCAGTCGTGTATGTCCTGTACAACTTAAGGCTTGGTGTCACCCAACTAATTCCCGACTGACCTTTTTTAAGGTCTTTGCCACTCAATGTTAAAAAGTCCTCAATGCGGCTGAAATAAACAAAATCCTTACTGCTGAATATTAGGAAAATAACAGAACTTAGATCTTACCTGCATTAAGTTAAATCTTGCCACTTCATTTATTGGAGCATCAGAGATGATCCCATACTGTTCCGGATTCACAACAGCTGGGCAAATAAAGTAGGCAAGCAAGAGATCTGTGCACATGGCCTTCACCTCCCCAATATCCAGTCCCTCCACACAAGACAAGGTTTTGTACATTTGTGAGACAATCCAACGCAAGCTATGTGGGAAACAGTATGTGTTCTGTTTCAGGTACCCGATAAATTTATTGACCAGGGCTACCAGCTTTGCCTCGTTGCTTTCCACCATCTCCTGCACCTTCCTTTTGAAATTCTCACTTCCTTTCTCTCCAAATAGCTTCTCCTGCTGTGTGGGAGAAAACCTCTCAATCAGCTTGTTTGGGTCCGTTTCCAGGTGATCTTCATCTTCTACCAGAAGCAGCATAATCGGCTCATGCAAGGTAGCCGTCAGGAACAGCTTGGCCGAGTACAGCCCCTCTGAAAAGAGTTTGAAGAGAATGCTGAATGCGCACGCGCCCCTGCGAAGCAGCCGCCTGGTGTTGTCGCTCTCCTTCAGTTCGAACTCGATCAGGTAACGCAGGACCTGCAGGAGGTAACTCTCGTCCTCTTGCATGATGCAGTTGCCATAGAGGGAGGTGAACACCGTGAGGATGACGCTGTGCGTGTTTTCGTAACTGAGCTTTTCCCCAGCAACCAAGCAAGAGGCCACGAGTCTCGGGTTCTCCCTCAGACGGTTTAAAAACTCCCCGTAAAGCGTCTCTTGGAATCCCAGTTGTTTGTATCCGTCCACAAACTGCGTGCTCTCCAAGACCTTGGCGTGGTTGCAACATTCTGCAGGAGATGCTTCAACACTGAAACAGAAGATAAATTTTTATTGACTTTGAATATGATCTATTATTCATGTCCTGAACTCCTGCCTTCTCAACACCAGGAGCATTATTTATAAACTATATCTACAACACGTGTACTTCAACTTTAGTGGTGTTAATCGCAGATGCTTCCAATCTGGCATTCAAAATTTCTAGGTATGTAACTCTAATAATCAGTGTCCCACCAACAGAATGTCAAGGTCAAACAAGGGTCTAAAACATTCAGTGAAGTGACCTCCTCTCACCACATCATTAACAGATGGTTAAGTAACTCACACAACTGTCAATGCAGATAAAAAAACATAGCGGTACTACATTAGCAATTATTTGTGAATGACAGAGGCTAATAATAACCAGAAGAGTTCTGCTTAAAAACCCTGAACGGGAAAGAATTATGAATAAATGCTGAAGCCATTATTTAGTGAGCCTCGGTGTGAGAAGTTAATCTGGGTAGTGAAGCAAGAAGGATTTACATAAACTGGGGGAAATGTCCATATGATAATAAAGCAAGTGGGGTAAAGTGATCTTTCAAATAATAATAATAATAATAATCCTTGCATTTGATATAGCGCTTTTCACATCGGGAGGACGTCCCAAAGCGCTTCACAGAACACACTGTAAAGTGAATTGACTGTATATTTGTGGGCGAACGCGGCAGTCAATTGCGCACAGCAATGTCCCACAAACAGTCGTGGATTGAAACTGACCAATTATTATTGGGTTTTTTGGGTTTTTGGAGGGATTATTATTAGGCGTGTGGAGAAAGGAAACTTGTCCAAGGTTTCGCCCTGCCTGGTTTTATTTCTATTTTATTTGGAGTTGTAAAGTGCTGATTTCATTTCAGTTCCAGCCAACAATTACAACCACAAAATGTTCACGTCTAGAGAACGTCCCAAGGCACTGGACAGGGGTGGGGGTATGACGGAAGGCACTGTCTTGAAGGAGGGTCTTGAAGGAAACAAGGGAGGGGCAAGGCGGAGGGACTGCGGAATAGAGTTCCGGAGGGTGGGGGCAGAGTGGCAGAAGGCCCACTCGCCAATGGTGGGGCGTGTGAGGTGGGGGACATGTAGCAGGCCGGAGCCCGCTGAGCAGAGGGTGCGGGCAGGTTGGTAAGGGGTTAGGAGGTCACAGAGGTAGGGGGGAGCAAGGCCATGGAGAGCTTTGAAGGTGAGGACTAGGATCTTGAACTGTATCCTCTGTGTGATGGGAAGCCAGTGGAGTCGAGCGAGGATGGGGGTGATAGGGTCGCAGAGGCTGGTGTGGGAGAGGACATGAGCTACAGAGTTCTGGATGATCTGCAGCCTATGGAGAGGAGTTGGAAGGACAACAAAGCAGGGAGTTTGCATAATCGAGCCTGGATATTATAAATGCGTTTATGAGTGTCTCGGAGACCTGCGGTGTAAGACACTGGGGGAGCCAGGCGATGTTGCAGAGGTGGGGGAAGGCAGAGTGGGTCATGGCAAGGATGTAGGGTAGAAAGGATAGTTGAGGGTCAAACCAAGGTTCCGGACTGGCTTAGTAAGGTGGAGCTGTCAGTGCCTGAGGTGAGGAGGCGCTGACGGAAGCCAGCCAGGAGAGCTTCGGTCTTGTTGACGTTCAACTGTAGGAAGTTAGCTCTCATCCAAGAATTGATGTCTAACAGACATTCAGCAGTGGTCCTGGAGTCGAGGGTGAAGGCAGAAAAGTAGAATTGGGTGTCATCCGCATACATGTAGAAATTGACCCCATGTCTGCGGATGACGTCACCAAGAGGGAGTATATAGATATTGAAAAGGAGAGGAACAAAGACAGAGCCCCGAGGAATGCCGCATGAGACGGTGCAGGGGCTAGAGGAGAAGCCATTTGTAGAATTGAAGAGACAGTGTGAAAGGTAGGATCTGAATCATTCAAGGACAGAACCATGAAGGTTGAGGTGAGAGGAGAGCCGGTGGAGGAGGATACATTGGTCAGGAGAACCACAGCGTTAAAACCCAACTTTAGGACGTTCCGTTCCATACTTTGTGGCTGTTTGGCCTAACTCAAGAAGATTTATAACAAAAACAGAAGTCGCTGGTCAGTTCTGACGAAGGGTTGTGGATCCGAAACGTTGACTCACTTTCCTTTCTCCATAGATGCTGCCTGACCTGCTAGGTGTTCCCAGCGACTTCTGTTTATGTTTCAGATTTCCAGCATCTGCAGTATTTTGCGTTTTGTTCAAGTAGAAAAAAAAGTTCTTTCTTCAAGACACAATTTTTATTGTTAAATCCATCAGTGCAATGGTTGGCAACCCCCAGTGGGGCAGGACAGTATGCTGGATTTCAAACCAGTTGCAATATAGGAGCTCTGATCTCAGTCAAGGGAAGAACGCATAGACCAATAACTGGGAGTTGACTCACCCCACAAGGAGCAGAGGCTGGGATACGCGTTTGCCAAAATAGACAGGATGGGGTTCAGCACACAAAAACTCAAGAGAGGGAAGCATACTTCATTTTATAAAAAAATAAGAAATTAATCACTTAAAATCGATTATGAACTGGCAAGTAAACTGGAAGACTTTACACAAATCATTATTTGTACAGCTGAGGCCCATATATGTTCTGAATTACGCTGCTACAGACTAAGTAGGATTTGTGCCAATAGAATAACCAGGACACAGCAGGCAATTTCCCTCCATCTTCAAATATCTGCCTTAACATACTGATTGGGAGAGGCCAAGGGCTGGCTATCTCCATCAATCCATGGTTAAACTTCACATTGACTGATACTCCCTAGCAATATCATAGTTGGCAAAGTGCCAGAAAAAGAATTTTTAGTGATAAAGATCCCAGAGGCAACCTTAATCAAATCATTAAAATTAAGACAAAAGTGAGACAGAAGTGATTAACCTGCAGGTTAACACAATGGATCAGTCATATTTATATCTCTTTAATTATTCTCAATTAACAAACGACAGAACTGCGCAGGAAAGGTTAATTGACGTATTTTAAAAAATGTTTAAGGCAATAACACTGAAGTAACCATTTAGCATAAATTCAACAGTCTTGTTTATTGTTGTCCTCATTTATGAATATGCAAGGAAGAAATTCTTACCAACTAATTCAAGTTCAGGGTTTGCAATAGGAGAAAGGCTTTCAGCCTATCAAGCCTGTTCTGTGACATTATTCGATCATGGCTGGATCTTTTCAATCCATTTTCTCCATATCTCTCATTATATTTCATATATCCATCATTTATCTCCCAAGTATCTATCCCCCTTTCTATTCTACATCTACATGCTTCCCGAGCAGAACATCTATCAAACCTACGTGTCAACCACAATTCTCCGACATAATAAAACACATTTTAGTTACTAAGGCACACAGGTTATAACTTGGGGAAAAACAAAAGAACTCACACAAGGCATTTCAAAGAAACCATTCATTTAGAAACCATTAAGCAGTTTCAATCTGTAAATGGTGATCCAAGGGCCAAGTTTCAAAACATCTAACACTGAGTGCAGCAGGATTTCCCTTCCTGTTTTTACCTGAGATGTCTATCTTTCTAAAGTTAAAAGGGTCTTATCAGGAGTCTTTCTAACTTTTGGTTATGGTCTGAAACACTGCTATTATGGTCTGCCAAGTAAGCCAATCATATCTTTGAGAGCAGTGAAAGAGTCGAGGCAATCAGCTTTAGGATCACCCTAATGATGGAGGGAAAACAGGTGAGGGTTTTTTCCTTATAATCCAGCGACACTTTTTTCCAATCACGCATTTTTAAAATATTTTATTTGCCAATATATTCAATTGAAACTCAAAAGTCTGAGATAATGTTGAATAATCAGAAGCTTAAGCCATATCCCATCGATGCATTGTTAAAGTGAGAAAAACCCACGAAGCACTTTGCATGTGATGCCTTTTGAAACTGCACGTTAAATCCATGCCCCATGCAATGCTCTCACCTGGTTAGAATAAGGCGGTCCAGGTTAATCCGTTGCTGTTTTGCAATCCATGCTGCGCGATAGAGTCGTTCAGCAGTTTTCAGCACGTCAGCATTTAACCGCTGGAGCAGTTGCTTGTCGGAGTTCACGTAGAGACGCTCTTGTTTGAGGTGATGGGCCAAAGTGTGAATATCCGGCTTCACCATCTTCAAACGTCACAGGTGCTAACTGGGAAGAGAAACACAGTTTTTCCTGTGTCATTCAAATGACTGGAGTATATGCAAGATCAAAAGTCTCTGGTACACAGTTGACTAGAGTTATCCAATCTCATTGCAATCGGTTTCCCTAGTTCATATTATTTACCTAAATTGTGTGTTGGGTGAACTTTCACTAAAATGTACATTTTATTTACTACAAAAAAATGAATTCCCCGCCTTCCCCCAAACAACTATTTTGAGGCTTTTCCCCCACAGCGTGGTGCAAAAAAACACACTAAACTCTCAGCTGCTGACACACAAACAATGCAGCACTTAACTGCCAGTCTTCACTTTACACAATTAAGAGTAGAAATTAAATTGTTCTACAATTACTTGTTGAGTAACTGGAAAACCTTGTTACAGCAGCAGTGAATGAATACTATGGGGACATAAACAAGACTTGGAACATGCTTACATTCATCTAACAGGACGCTTGCAAAAAAGGAGTTTTATTCTTACAGCAGTTATCGGTTCATGAATAAAATTTGTGTTTTAAAACTTTCAACTCTCACATCAACCATACAATATTTTGCTGACATGATCCCAAATACTTTGAAAGATTCCCCAGTGTGAAATGCTGCACATAATCCCAAGTATTTTGAACGATTCTCCAGTGTGAAATGCTGTACATAATCCAGGTACTTTGAAACATTCCCCAGTGTGAAATGCTGCCCAACTCTTTCTGCCTCCACCCTCAATTCCAGGACCACTGCAGTCCTGACAGACTGTCTGTCGGACGTCAAGTCCTGGATGAGGGCAAATTTCCAAAGTTGAATGCGAACAAGTCTGAGGCCCTCCTGATTGGCTCGCGCCAGCGCCTCAGGACCTCAGGCTCTGGCAGCATCACCCTCCATGGTTGCACACTACAGCTCACCAGCCAGTCAGGAACCTGGGGGTCTTGTTCGACCCTCAACTGTCTTTTCTCCCCCACATTCAAGCCATGACCCGCTCTGCCTTCCCTCATCTCCGTAACATCGCCCGACTCCGCCACTACATCACCGCTCAGGCCGCTGAAACTCTTGTTCATGCCTTCATCACCTCCAGGCTTGACTTTGCAAACTCCCTGATTGTCGGCCTTCCCAACTCCTCCCTCCACAGCTGCAGATAATCCAGAGCTCTGCAGCCCGTGTCCTCTCCCGCACCAAACTCCGTGACCCCCATCTCCCCCACTCTCGCCCGACTCCATTGGCTCCCTATCCTTCAGATCCAGTTCACGATCCTGGTCCTCACCTACAAAGCCCTTCATTGCCTCGCCCCACCCTACCTCTGTGACCTCCTAACTCCCTACCAACCTGCCCGTTCCCTCCGCTCAGCCGCTCTGGCTGCTCCACGTCCCCCGACCCATCCGCCCCACCATTGGCGGGAGAACCTTCAGCCACTCTGGCCCCAATCTCTGGAATTCCACCCCCCAATCACTCCGCCTCCTCCTTAGCCTCCTTCAAGTCCCGCCACAAGACCTTCCTCTTCGACCATGCCATCGGCCACCCCCCTTCCCCTTCCTTCCTTTACCCCCCCAACCCCAGCTCGGGTCTGAAATGCTGTATACTGTGCAGCGCCTTGGGACATCCTCCTGACATGAAAGGCGCTATACCAATGTAATTTTGTTGTTATTGTAAATAATCCAAATACTTTGAAAGATTCTCCAGTGTGAAATGCTGCACATAACCCCAAATACTTTGAAAGATTCCCCAGTGTGAAATGCTGGACACCTTGAAAGCGAGATACCTGGGTTCAATTCCCGGCAGGGCGAAACCTTGGCAAGTTTCCTTACTCTACAAGCCTAATAATAATCCTTCCAAAACAAAAACAATAATAAATTGGTAATTTTCAACCTAAGACTGTTTGTGGGACACTGCTGTGCGCAATTGGCTGCCGCGTTTCGTCCACAAATGTACAGTCAATTCACTTTACAGTATATTTTGTGAAGCGCTTTGAGACGTCTAGAAGACGTGAAAAGCGTTATATCAAATGCAAGGATTATTATTATTATAATCTCAAGTACTTTGAAAGATTCCCCAGTGTGAAATGCTGTACATAATCCAAGTACTTTGAACGATTTTCCAGTGTGAAATGCTGTACATATCCCAACTCTGAAAGATTCTCCAGTGTGAAATGAGCTTGACAGATTACTCAATGGGACAGAAAAACAAAAATCACGGGGTACGATGTAAATCTCCAAAAGTTTATTTTTTGGAATTGAAAGTTTCGAGAGCTGGTTATTCAAGAGAAGTCAGCAACTAAACTAGATTATTTTCATCTGGGGAAATTATATAAGAAAATCACAGTGGGTTCTGGGGGGGATGGGCTGATCACTCCGTACTCAGTGCTCAATATGTTCCTTACTTCATACATTATATTAACATGAAGTGCTGCATCCTCTCTTCTGAGATGAAATGCACTCCTTTGATTTACTACAGTCTGGGATTGAATCAGAGAGATTGAATACTTATATAAGAGACTGCACATTTCCTCTTATTCTGTGCCCCATCGTCTTGATTATGTTACAGTATTTGCCAATTGCCATTTCACTTTTATTTTCAAAAACGATTTTTTATTGCAAGGCAAGTGTGCAAGGCTTCTTTCAATTAACATTCCCAGGTATTGGTTTTGCTTTTTCAAATTGCAACCTGATTTGACTACGTTGCCCACAAAATACACAGTTAAATACACATCTTACAGTATATTCTGCAAAGTGCTTTGAGTCGTCTCGAAGAGGTGATAAGGCGCTATATCAAATACAAGGATTATTATAGTAGTATTATTATATTACTTTTACCCAGCTCAGTGGAGAGTTTGTACCTCCTGACCTGTGAATTTTGCTGGCACGTTGTCTGATATAGTCCTCTCTAAGCATCTCCAGGGGTTCAGGGACGCAACCCCGCGTGAAGGACACTGTATAAATGCATGTTGTTATTGTTGTTCTATCACTTGTGCCTTTCCTATCACAATCCACACAAGCAATCTTGTAAAGGCAGCTGTCGATTCATTTCAGGAACCACCAAGCTCAGCTCGTTGCATAGTAATCCCACTGACATGCACCTTTCTGATAATAAATTGTCATGGTATATTATTCTAGGATTGCAGCACATTGCACCAACTCTAGATATGTATGAGCGGCTATCTAAATATAAATGAATGAGAGCTGAAACTCATATTTCTCCCTAAATAAAAAAAATCCTGCAAGTTATTGAGGTGTAAAAATAACTCTAAAAGCTTGAATGATCCAGAGTTGTGCCAACTACAAGCCAGTAGCAACTGTGATGGTTTCATTTTTCAAATTTCTCCGAACATAAATGTGCTCAAAGGTGTAGTAGCGGGTGTCAGCCCACCTGGCACTGTGCTAAACGTACAGCCAACAAATAGTCATTGCAAAATTGCAAGAGAGGAAAAAAAAGCCTTTCCAAACAGAAACCCAAGATTTAATGTCAGTAACAAATTAGTTTTCAATTAGAGGTTGTTTACAGGAACACAGCTGAATACACCGACTGTTCCAGCAGGCCTGTTTCTGAAAGAAGCCCTGAGGATGAGGAGAGGAAGTCACTTGTCAGTCTGGTAAAAATCCAGAGCTTCGCTCTTCAGCTATTTGCAGTGAGATCACTTTCAAAGATACATGAATAGGAAATGGAGACCATTCCAAATTTCAGCATTTTGAAAGGAATCTTGATGTCTGATGAAGGAACAGTGGAGTTTGGTGATAATCTGGTGAAACGTTAAGGTAACCAACAGCACTGACTGCAAACAATGCACCAGTGCACACATGTAAACACATTCTCCTAAATTAGTCACATTGCCTTTCCCAGACATGTATGTCAAAGGGAGAACAAACTCTCACCGCCATTTCAACAGCAGAAATGGTAGATGTTTGAGAATGGGCCATCAACATAATAATACTTGCATTTGAATTAGCACCTTATCACGTTTTCGAGACATCTCAACATGCTTCACAGAAGACTGTACATTTTATGGGCGAAACATAGCAGCTAATTGCGCACAGCAGTGTCCAACAAACAGTCGTGGATTGAGTGACCAAATTATTATTTTTTTTTGAAGGGATTATTCCCCCGGGAAAGCAATCCGTCAATTAACTAACAACTAACTGCTAGGTAAACAGAGGCGTGTAGAGTAATAAAACTTGCCCAATGTTTAGCCCTGCCCGGGAATCGAACCCTGGTCCTCTTGCTTGCGAGGCGAGTGCTCTAACCACTACGCTACAGGACTCCCACAACAACATTGTTAGAATTGTAAAAGCTGGGTGGAGGAGCAGTAAATTGGGACAGTTGAGTTCCAGGTAAAATGAACTGGGCACAAAGTGGCTAGAAATCAAAGGGATTTCTAGAATTGCTGATCCTTAAGAAAAAACTGTCCAAACTACCAACTGTGTACATTCTGCCAGTGCAGATATCCTAAAAAAATTTGTTTTAAATCACATGCTGTATTTAAGAAAGAATTCATCATAAGATCCAGTATTCTAAAGGAACAACTTTGTGCTTTGAATAAATTATGCCACTTCTCTTCTCTGGTGCAGGGTTATCTACAACAATTGTGCACTCTTTATCCACAACATTAAAACTGCCAATTCCGATGTGTTCTTTCACCACCAATAAGCTTTCAGGATGATATGAAACTCATAAGCAGAACAGAATGCTGACAATTTCCTATTTCTGCCGCTTAAGCGGAACGTGGTCTATAGAAATTCAGCACAACTAAGAGTACTATGAGACGACAGGAAGTGGATTCGTGACTAGGGAACAAAACCTCAAAACAAAATGAATTGTAGATCGTACTTTTGTTCTTTATTACAAAAAAGATAAAATAACATTTTTTCCGGGAATTTGAAGAAACTGGAACATCACATTGGAGTCGGACATTTATAAGAATGCAGAGATGTTTTCCTGTCTATGAACAACATTTCAAAGACAATTTGGTGCTAATCCTACTTCCGCTTTCTTTTCAACAGGACGATGCAATTTTCTCACGATTCACGAAAGTAAATTGAATGACAAACTTGGTGTCAGTTTGTCAAATTGGCTGCCATATTCACCTACAAAATAATCATTATACTTTATATTCCTCTATATTTGAAGGGCAATGATTTGATGCTAGCATCGTTCCGATAACCTGCTCAGATACACCTCACAATTACTCAACTATGCTGAAGGAGGGGAAGAGAAGAAGAAATGGCTGCCACGTTTGCCCACAAAATACACAGTCACTCCACTTTACAGTATATTCTGTGAAGCTGTAAGATATTTCAATGACAATGATAAGGCACTATATCAAATGCAAGGATTATTATTATTATATATAGCTGTATCTGATATGTCACTCATCATCATCATTTACTTTCAGCAGTTATCTCAAAAGCAACTGGGAGGAGGGAGAAAGCAATGGACTGAAACAGACTCCAATTCTAGCATCCCAGCACTGAGATCAGCTAATTCAGCACAGAGTAAGGATCAAAGAACCTTCCTGATTTATATGGAAAAGCACCAGACTTCATTAGCATTTGCCTTCTGAGACTTCAGAGATGACTCCCAACAGTATTTCACAAAACTAATTGCAGAAGTTTTTTTAATTTAAATCACTAACCTCTTCGAAACCTTCCACTGTTGATCTTATGTTGTGATGTCTAGCAAACAGATCTGACGCAACTTCTGAACACTGGGATCTTTGAAATCTGTGATTAAGAGTGAAAGAGAATGTTGTGAGCGAAGGAGGTTGTTTCTTCTGGTAGCAAGAAGTTCTGAATAATGGCTTTTAACAAACATTTAGTTGTGATAGAATGCCAGTAACACACAATCTTTGCATTTTTATCACAACAATAAGACAGCTGAAAATAAGGTACAATATTCCAGTCCAATATTTTCCTACATTACACAAGTTCATTCAATTTGAAATATCAGAAACCAGATATCCTTTCAATTGAAGCTACCTTTGACCCTAGATTAATTTCCTAGTAGGTTCAAATTGACTGTCATTATGGATCTTATTTCAATTAAGTGCTACACTCCTATGCATGGCAAATTAATTCTTGAACACATTTTAAAAACTAAAACTAAAATCACTCAAAATCTTTCAGTTTATTCCAATGAACAAAAGCAGATCTAAAATTATTCAGATGATGGTACGATGGTAAAGTTAGCCTGCCCAGGACTCGGACATGTCACAATCAGCCAAGGTTCCTACTTTTGCTCTCTATTCTTCCTGGAAGATGATGGATGCAATAGGAACTGACTCAAACATAAAAAGTGATTGATTGCCTTTCAATTCACAATTACCTTGAATATGCAATGAAGAATCTGTAACTTTGGTTACACCTGAAAGCTTATTATTAACCCTGTCAATATGACTAATGCAATGAATGTGTAATACATGATGCTTACTGCAATGACATCAAAATTAATCTCAGCACGAATCAACATCAATGAAATATATGAAATCCGTGATTATCATTTGGTTTGCTTATTCCTCAACTGTATTGATGATAAAGAATCATAAAGAATTTGTCCACAAAACACACAGTCACTACCTTTGCAGTATATCCTGCATACTGTACTGGTAGCAGTAGCGTCCCGGAGTGCCACTGTGAAGGGCTCCAGGACACTACCTCGCGTGAAGGGGACTATATAAATGCAAATTATTGTTGTTATCCTGTGCAGTGCTTTAAGACGTCTCAACAACGTGATAAGGTGCTTTATAAAATGCAAGGATATTACTATTATAAAATACATCAAGTTTACCCACAAGTCGTTTACAGCTAAGTCCTTTCCTTTGAAGGCCTAGTTTCCTAAGGGAGCTGGATAACCAAAGAAACGTTGTGGTTTACAGAAAATGAGATATAACTACCATGATTAGGTTCAGTTGCCTACATGTAAATGAACAACTTGCATCATATATTTGTATATAATTATAGCTACATTATGTGGAAGCACAGCAAGATGAAATCAAGACCAAAAGCATACATTTCCAGTTACTTTCAAAATGTTATTAACTGTCCAAAAGTATTCTGCATATCTTTCCTTCTCAGAACCTACACTCCTTTCTGTCAACTCCAATATGCCCTTTACAGATATCCCTAGACCACGATACAAGATACAGAATGTACAATCATAGAATGACAATGAACCGAGAGAAAGATGACTATCTACATCCACAAAATGTTAAACAATTTAAAGCAAAATTAATAAAGAACCACCTTTACTTCAAACCCTACACTGAAGCTGGATAACATTACAAAGCAACAATTTGGAGGGAAAAATGCACTGAGGATTAGATTTTTAAATACAATCTTTCAGATGTATCTTAATAATAACTCTGACCAGTTTAATGTCAGAACCAATGTTGCCAGATTGGACAGATTATTGTTGCACTGTGCATGAAACAACGGCTTTGGGCTGGTGGCCCGTTTTTTACCTTTTTAATTTTAACTGCAAAACGCAAATAAACTTTTTTTTCCCCAATTTGAAATCTTGACAATTTCAAAGCATTAACTTAAATTGGCAACACATATTAGGCTACTCTGGGGCCAATATTTGATTTGACTTTGGTATGTAACAAAGGTATTTTAAGGTATTTGGTTCTGAATAGGAGTGAGATCAAAAGCAGCCAATAACATTTAATAAAAAATCAGAATAGGAGCAAATCACAAAGTAGAAGATTTTTTTTTCAGAATGTTCCACCATGTGTCTGCCACATTATGTAAATCATTACAGTAACATGTGAATCCAGAAAGAAATATAAGCCAAAACTAGACAGAGCTCGTTTGATCAAAACTGCTATTAAGTGATTTATGATGACATCATTTTCTATTTTAAAATGATCATTCATTAGAAATCATGACTGTTTGTCAAAATGGGCCATAAATTACATGCAGCATCAGTAATGGGAGAAAACAAAGACTGAATAAGGCTCACCAGAACATTATCATTTCTACACCTTAGACTTAAATCTAGTGACTGAAAATACCAGAAAAAAACATTTACTACAATTCAACAGTCTAAAGAACCAGTTCAGCAACTTATATCGCCAAATGCCATTTTCAACCAACCCTTCCCTTCAAACTGTTCAGCCCACGTTAAACAACACTATGTTTGGTCGTGGGATGTTGTCATAGCTGATTTTGTATTGGTTCAGCTGTGTCGCCTCTGGGTAAGAAGGTTGTGGGCTTAAGCCAAGCCTTGTGCTCATTGTCTCGGCTGCCACTACAATGCACAAAATGGGAGACATTGTCTTGGTGCCATCTTTCTGATGAGATGCTAAACTAAGCGTAGCTCTTTGAGAGTTTAACATGAGGTCTCATAAAAATATTGATCTTATTTTTGTTTTGACCGTTTTGCACCTCTGTTGTCCAGTGAGAGAAACCAGGAATGCTATGACATTGGGTTTACCCCTAACCATAGCAAGTTTACGGTGCTCCATTAAATTATATAGAAATCAGAAACAGGAGGAAGCTATTCAGCCCCTTGAGCCTTGTTCCACATTCTATAAGATCATGGCTAATCTATACCTCAAGTCCAGTTACCTGCCCTTGCCCGAATCCCCTTAATACATTGACTAACAAACATCTATCCACCTCTGTCTTGAAAGTGCGAATGGATCCAGCATCCATAGCCTTTTGGGGGAGAGTTCCAGATTTCCACTACCCTTCGGGTGAAAAACTGCCTCCTAATTTCAATCCTAAATGGCCTAGCTCTAATTTTAAGATTATGTCCCCTTGTTCTGGATTCCCCTACCAGAGGAAATAGTTTATCTGTATCTACCCTATTGAATCCCTTTATTATTTTAAAAACCTCAATCAGATCACCCTTCAACATTCTAAACTCAAGGAAATAGAGACCACGTTTATGCAATCTGTCCTCATAATTTAACCTTTTCAGCGCTGGTATAATTCTGGTGAATCTGCGATGCACCTCTCCAGAGCTAATATATCCTTCCTGAGGTGCGGTGCGCAAAACTGAACTCAGTAATCCAGATGGGGTCTGACCAAGGCTCTATACAGTTGAAGCAATATTTCTTCTCCTTTATCCGGCACAGGCATGATCAGCCGAATGGCCTCCTTCTGTGTTGTAATAACAATATTCTATGATATTCCAGCCTCCTTGGGATAAAGGCCTTTTTGATAACTTTTTGTACCTGTGAGCTTTTTTTAGAAATTATATGCGTGGACACCCAAACCCCTTTGCTCCACAGTTCTTAGTTTCTCACCATTTAGAAACAATTTTCTTTTGCTATTTTTGGATCCATAGTGGATGACCTCACACTTCCACACATTGAATTCCATCTGCCAGTTTTGCCCACTCACTTAATCTAAGTCCCTTTGTATCTTCCTGCTCCCATCTAAACAATTTAATATGCTTCCTAACTTTGTGCCATCTGCAAATTTGGATATAAAACTGTAGCTCAGTGCTTAGAGCACTCGCCTTGCAAGCGAGACACCTGGGTTCAATTCCAGGCAGGGTGAAACTTCGGGCAAGTTTCCTTACTCCACACAGAGCCTAATAATAATCCCTCCAAAATAAAACAATAATTGGTCACTTTCAATCCACGACTGTTTGTGGGACACTGCTGTGCGCAATTGGCTGCCGCGTTTCGCCCACAAATATACAGTCAATTCACTTTACAGTCTATTCTGTGAAGCGCTTTGAGATGTTGAGAAGACGTGAAAAGCACTATATCAAATGCAAGAATTATTATTATTTCCTTCATCCAAGTCATTTATATGTATGATGAAAAGCTGAGGCCCCAGTACAGACCCCTGAGGAACTCTGCTTGTCATGTCCTGCCAATCAGAAAACATTCCTTTTACCCCTACTCTGTTTCCTGCCTCACAACCAATTTCCAAGCTACTTTAGGTTACCTCCGATTCCATGCGCTTTTATTTTTGCTAATAAACTCTTGTGCAGAATGTTATCAAATGCCTTCTCAGAGTCCTTATAGACAACATCCACAAACACTCCACC